ATAACTTCAATACATACAAACTGGTGAAGAGCGAAATAGTGCTTGAGATTTGTTTTTATTGTCGAATACATGCATCCAAAATATTAGCTCAATACTATTAAAAAAAAAAAATAGTAGCACTTCATGCAAGGTGACTATATATTTGTCCAGGATTGTAATTATCTATGTGAGTATTTGTAATAATATTTATCTAAAGTGTTCAATCAAGTATTTAAATTAATTTGTTAAAGATTAGAAACATCCCAAAAATATCTTTCTAATAAAAAAGAATTTAATCATGTAATCTCTTTCTTTTATTGATTTTTACCGTGTTTCGATCATCTCACTAATATAGCATATAAAAAAAAAACAGGAATAAGAAATTTATGCATATAAAGTTACAAGTTGCAAGAAAACAATTCTAATCTCGAACAATATATTTGTTTTTAAAAGAATGAAATGAAGAAAGAGATTGAGATTTTAACAGATGATAAAAAAGTTTAGTCCATCAGAATTTCATTCATCATTTTTAGAGTCAATTGTTTCTTTATCGTTTTTAACAAGCACTTCTGTAGAATTCAGCTCAGCCACACACGCAACCAATGCTGCACCTTTGCCACTACCTAAAAATTTTCAATAAATCATTATATTTATCATATACAAACGGCTTACCATCATCAGACAAAGCCCATTTGAACTAAAAAAAAAAAAGACAAAGAATATTTTAGTAGAAGAATCTTCAATTGTGAATATTAAAATAATCGATTTATCTGATATTAGAAAGGATATATTCAACTTACTAGGGGGATATCTTCTCTGAAATAATCAAGATTATAAGAAGACTTTGAAATGCAAATTAAAAGTTTCAAGAAAATTACTACGTAGTTCAAAGACATCGTGTTCGGATTATTATCATAATCGATAAGAAAAAAAAGAAAGAAAAAAAAAACAATTTAATGTTTTGAAAAGTAATCATTTTCTGTAATCTTTTTTCAATAAAATTGTTTATCACTGAACATCTTATACTGAAAAATTGCATTGTACGAATATAAGTCATTGTTATACAGTTGCGCACCTTCCGCAGTGAACAACATCATATAAGTCTTTGTTGAGTACTTTCAAAAAGTTCGAAGAATGTTTACTATAGAGAAGTTATACTGTACTTCCGGTTGTTGCTAAAGAAGATTAGATTAAAAGCAATATTAGGATTAAATATGATAAATGTATGTAAATAAAACTTACAGCTTTTTCAGTGTACTCAAAAAGTGAGTACACTACTAAAATCGGTCTGTATGTCCGTCCGGCCGTTTACACGATAACTTTCGAAAGAAGAGTCAGATTGCGATGAAATTTTCTACACAGCTTAGTCTTGACAATATCTCGGTCGAGTTCGAAGATGAGCAGGATCCGC